CCCCAGCCCCGCATCTCCCCTCTGCGCCGAAGCCTGCGGTGTGTCAGAGCAGGGCACCTCCACCACCACCTGGGTCACGAAGTGTTAAGTGGCCCCTGTCAGGGTAGACCCCCCCCAGCCGCTGTTGGGTCTCTGGGGACACTCGGCCCAGATACAGCCCTGCCCTGGGGCGGGGGGAGCACGGAGGACGCGGGAAGGTTGCTGTGGGGGGGATTGGCATGAGCTGGGGCCTGTCCGCACAGTGAGAGCCACTGGCTCCCGAAGGGCTCCAGGGGGGCTGTCCCAGCCCTTGGGCTCCCTGGAAACGCGGCGTGGTGTGTTGTATCTCTCTCAGTGCAGAGACCATGAAGATTAACCAGAACACTGTGCTGCAAGGACAGAGGGTGACCCTGGTGCCGTACACTTCTGCACATGTGCCCCGGTACGTGGCTGGTGTCCTCCTCTGATACTCTTGCATGGTCTGATTTCATTTCTCTTTTTAGAGGGAGTGTGGTGTTCAGAAAGGGTGCTGGCTTGACAGCTGCAGGGTCCTCTTCCCCCTAGGAACCACACAGCAGAAAGAGCACTCATAGAAAGGCAATCAGTTTGGCCCTCTGTCTCCTCCCAGCAGGTCTGTGTTCTTTGTCAGGTCTGCTGACAAAAGAACTTCGTCTGTGCCACTGGGTACCCATGGAAAGGGAAATACCTGTCCGTGAGTGAACTGCCAACAGTTCTCTTGTTAACTGATGTCTTGCCCTAATGACGGTGGAAGAGCAAAACTTCAACGTGTAAAGCCGGATGGATGTTTGATAAATTAGAGGCAGGCATGTGGGCAGTTTGTAAAGTGCTGGCCTGGGCAGCTGCAGCCTCAGCACAAAGATGGCAGTATTAGTCTTTTTGTCAGTGTCCGGGAGATGATGTATCAATCTTGGTCAGGATGAAATGCACCAGAACTCAATGCTCAGTACTTTTAAAAACATCAAGTTTGCATTGAGCACTCTGTAGAAAAAGCCACATACTTGCTAAATTTCCACAGAGAACATTGATTCCTGTGTTAGATAAGGGAGAAAGGCTTGTGGATACTTTCAAGTTGCCATAAATGCCAGACTAGTGTTTCCAGAACTGGTTTATGAAGCCTGATCCTGGGAGCACCTGTGGAAATTAGACTGCGATGCTATAGCTCAGGCAGTGATCTGGTTTTGGGTCCTGTTGTCAGGTACCACGAGTGGATGCAGTCAGAGGAGCTGCAGCGCCTCACCGCCTCTGAACCACTCAGCCTGGAGCAGGAGTACGAGATGCAGCGCAGCTGGCGGGACGACGCAGACAGTGAGGATCTTAAATATTTTCTAAGGGTGGTTGGGAGTGGTGAGCAGGTCCCTTCTGTCCTGTAAAGGACCCACAGTGGGGCTGAGAGCACCTAGTGAGTGGGCTCTACTTGCTGAAGCAGATGGGATGTGAGACCTTCTACAACAGCAGCTTTAAACTGGCTTTCTGTTTATAGCTGGTATATATTCAGGGAAGTAGAGAATGTCTGGGGCTGTTGGTGTCCTTTTTATGCAGTTTTCCAAAGATTACAGTGATTTACTTCCCACAGCATTATCTGCTGAGCTGCTCCTGCACAGTCAACACTCCTCAGGTCTGATCATCATAAAAAGGTGGAAGGGGGTTGTATTTTTCCTTGAGAAATCGAATGACTTCATAATTACCTGGTTGAGGTGTGCTGACTGAATTGGTTCCCTGGCTCTCCTACAGGTAATGAATCACTGCCCATAAAAGCCTGGTAGAAATATAGTGAGCTGCAAAATACTGAGGCTGGCAAAGACCTCAGTCTGGAACATTTGTCTTAACTGGCATTAAAAGCCTTACTAAAAGCAAAAAATAATATGGTCTAGGTGAATCACTAGGTCTCAGTCTCTTCTGCACCAAACAATTCTTTGCCCAAGCTTGCTGCAGAGTGAGACAAGGCAGGGAGACCTCAGTCATGGAATGAAAGTTGTCATGCTCCTTAAATAAGCTGTTTCTAGTCTTGATGTCTACGTCACCTTCACCACGGGTTTTTCAGAATATTTCTTACCTTTCTAGGGATGGGAGCAGGCACGCTTGACATGGGAGGCCTAATTATTAGCTCTTCCTCACTGTTAACAAGTGGAGACCATTGTTCCTCTGTGTATTGCATGCCTTTAATTTCATCCTTCAGTAATTTGTGAATAATCCTCAGTGTGCCCTGAAAACGCTGCTACGTTTTTGTTTTCTGCAGAGTGTACTTTCATTGTGCTGGACACGGAGCGGTGGTCCGGGCAGGCGCATGCGGATGAGGACTGCATGGTGGGGGACGTGAATCTCTTCCTCACTGACACTGAGGATCCAACGTTGGGCGAAATTGAAATTATGATTGCAGGTCAAGTTCTGCTTCCTACCTTCGGCCTCTCACCGTGGCTAAAGCCAGCTGCAGACAGATGTTACGTACAGCATCTTTGTATTCTCATAGCCTTACCATGGCTGTTCACCCCTGATCAGCATCCTTTGCTGGTCTGGGTCGCAGTCTTTTCCAAAAAGTACCCAGCATGGCTGATCTGTCTCACGTAACTGGATGCTGACTTCTGTGGCTCTCTCTTTCAGAGCCCAGCTACCGCGGCAGAGGGTTTGGCAAGGAGGCAACTCTGATGATGATGTCCTATGGTAAGGGTGGCTCAGTGCAAGGGAAGGGGAGTACAGTTGGGACGTGATCTAGAAGCGCGTATTCCCAGTGATACAGTCAGGGTAGTAAGGGATCCATCTGCCCCAGAAATTGGAGTCCTGTGCCTTTGTAGATGTGGCAGCCGAGCAGGTAGTAGAAATGCTTCTCTTTCCGGTTTCTTTTGCAGGAGTGAGAAACCTGGGGATCACCAAATTTGAAGCTAAGATTGGTCAGGAAAATGAAACCAGTATTTGCATGTTCAAAAAGCTTCATTTTAAGGAGGTGTGGTAACAGCCTGTCTTCTACCCAGAGAACATGAGCAGCCTTTGCCCTCAACTGGGATTGAGCTGTTTTTCCTCTGTGGTACAGGTTGCTGTGAACAGCATTTTCCAAGAGGTGACGCTGAGGCTGGATGTCACTGACCAGGAGAGACGGTGGCTCCTGGAACAGACAAACCACGTGGAGGAGAAGAGCTACGTTGAACTGAAGCTGCCAGCTGGGGTGCTGGAGACCTGACAGACACATCCAGACACAGGCCTGGTTTCCAGGGAGGAGTTGGACGCCGCTGCAAGGTCTGGGCGTGGAGGACACCAGTGAGCCAGTGCTGCACTTGACTGTTTTCATCTGTCTCCTTCAGTTACTTTGTCATCTTCTCATCTTTGCACCTTGTTGCACCAGCCAGGAAATTTACTGCCTGAAATTTGGACCTGGAGAACAGCTGCCAATTCACAGGCTTGACCAGGACTGACTATAACCTTAACGTGCTGTTCCTGCAGAGCCTAAACTCACCAGCAGTTGATTCCTGGTGCCACCAGTTTCTGGACAAGCAGCACCCACTGTTTCCTCCTTCACTGCCCTTAGAGCAGGATTCATCAGTTCGGCAGAGGCAGTCTCAGTGTGCTGGTAGCTCAGTCTGTTCTCTCTTGAATAAAAAAACCTGACAAAAATCTGAGGTTTCCTCAGAGCCCTCTGGGAGCAGTGGGGCTCGGCTGCTGGCTTTGGCTGCTGAAAGGGTGGTTAGAAGTTGTAAAGGACAGCAGAGACTCTTTGAAACACATTTTCTGGGGTGTGGGGGGGTCACTGCTGTGTCCTGGAAGTGAGAGGCCCGGGTGTGGGTCAGCACAACCAAAGGGCAAATTAACCAGATGAAAATGATTGATATCGGCCAATCGAGACTAGAGCAGAGCCTTGTCACGATCGCTGCGTAACGGAGGAGGCTGCTGAGACAAAACCCCTTGCTGAGTTTCAGGGCATGCTTTGGCACGCTGCTGCACGTTAAAGCACGGACCTGGAAACCTCAGGCCATCAGTGAAGAGAGATTGCGCTTCATTTTTCCGGGCTGCTTTTGTGAACGTGAGGAGAGGGAGAACACCACTGAAAGGAGACAGGAGAGTGATCCCCTGCTTCGAGGAGCTCAGGACTTGCTCTGCTGAGCCTAAATGCTCCATTTGCTGCTTTCCAGTAAGATAAATGGGGGAAAAAAATACCTCTTACTGGAGGCAGATATATTTAGGGCAGGAGCTAGCCAGCCAGCCTCCGCTGTGATATATATATGAGAGCTATAGCTGAAGGAGAGGCACTTGCCTGACTCCCACTGGACAGGCTTTTTAATGCACTTATTTAGTCTGACCTTTCCTGCCCCACACAGCATGCTCTCCACAGCAGGGAAGCTTGCTAAGAGGAGAGGACAGAAGGTAAGGAGGATAACTGGTGCTCCTGTGTGTTTTCCCACTGTAATACCAGCCGTAACAGCTAATTCTAGACCAGAAATTATTTGTTCCAGTGACATAGTATCAGGTAATAGCTTTCAGATTTGCCCAGGGATGTTTTTATCGGAGATTGGTAGACTGTGGAATTTTTGTGTCTGTATTTTTAGGGCCCGGGGGTTTTAGCTTTCCAATTTTAGTTAATTTAAATACATCATTCCTGTGACTAATATTAAAACCAAGTGTGGGAACAGTGTATCGTGGTATTTTAAACAAGCATTTAGCACGGATTTAGTTGTAGCGAAAGCTTTGTGCGGTAATAAACTGAAGAGCAGCTCTACTTCCAGCTGGGATTACCATGACAAGGGCTACTAATCCTTGTGCTCTTCGTCACCTGCTGCAGGCAGGAATGGATTCTGTCCCCCAGAACAAGATTTGCAGAACCTGCCGGGTGAACTGCTGGCTCCGCGCTCCTTCTGTGGAGCATTTCATCTGTCTTGCCAGAAGAACAAGGTCAGACTGGCAGGACACATGTAGCTGGGGTGGGATTTGCTCCCCTAAAAAGTGACCAAGGTGGGAAAAATAATAATTTCTTTTACCTCCTGCTGCCAGGGCTGAGGGGGGCACAGTGAAACCACACAGCCCTCCCCGGCTCTCCGTGCCTGGACGGTTACTCTGGAGCCAGTGAGCGCCCCGCTTGGCATCCCTGGTCCCCCAGCAACGCCGGCATGCTCCCCCGCCTCCATGGGTGGCTGGGAAAAGCCTTTGCCCTGGCAACCCAAAACAAAGTTGGGTCTGTCCTGGAGCTGTGGCCCTCCCCTGGGCCGCGGGGGGGCATCCTGGCAGAGCTCAGCCAGGGTTCCCACAGCAAACCAGTCCCCAGGCTGCTCTGACCAGGCAAAGATGCAAAAGATGCTCCCGGGAGGCTGTGGGTGC